TAAAGTAATATAAAGAAGTATTAGTTTAATATTTTAAATAACTACGATTCGGGGAAAGGCTAGATCGAGTTAGGATCCGATATAACCTAGGTCCTTCGGCTATCCGTTAATCGGCCTCGAACCATAAATTAATAATAATAAGAATAAACGAAGGTAGCCCTAGCTAACTCTTTCGTTTATATCGCCCGCTATAACTACCTTATTAACGAAGATATCCGTACCTTTTATATTATAATAAACTACGACCTCGAAGGTAAGAAAGCGGCCTTCGAAATAAACCCGTACTAAACGATAAGCTATCGATCGGTAGAATCGTTCGATTTCCTAACCTACCGATACCTCCTCGATAACCCCGCCTCTACTTTAGTCTTTACGATTTATACGAATTTAATAAACCCCGAACGAATTATTACCGATCCTACGAAGTTCTCCTAAGCCTACTTCGCCGTAACGCTATACTTCCTTAAGCTTCGGAAACTATATAGTTTTAATATAGTTAGGAACGGCGCCCTCGATCGGGCGGCGTACGCGTTCGGCTAGTTATAACGAGCCTAGGGAAACGGTAGCCTCGAGCCCGGTATAACCCCTTAATCTACTTATTATATCGCGTTAATAAACTAATAAAATAGCTATAGCTACGGTTTTTAAAGCGGTATTTTACCGTATCTTATCTTTAAACGACCGATCGAAATCGCGCGCTAAGCCTAAGAAAATAAGGGGCTCGACCCCCTTAATATTATAAAAGAATACGCCGAAGTAATAAAGTAATTTTATAGCGTTCGAGTTTTAAAGGAAAGGGTAAGTATCGTTAAGCGTTTTCGGTAAGCCGTAAATTATTAAAAGCGAATTAACCTTATTAACGTTATAATATCCGCTTAAAGTACGCCGATCGGTAAGCCCCTTAGCCGTAAATCCTTCGTTCGGTTTATCGCATAAGCTAAAGTCCGTCGTTCCTTTATAGCCTTAGTACCTAATCCCCCTTACTCCCTCGTATTAACGGACGTAAACCTCCGCTACGATAACCTCGTTAAGATTATAACGCGCCTCTTTCCTTCCTCCGGATTAAAAAGGATTAAGGCTTTCTAATTAAAGGAAACCTTTATACCGTATAAGTAGAAGGAAGATACCTAGTTAACCTTTAGGACGCGTCCGCTCCCTTACTATCCCCTTAATTAAGAGGACTAGGACGAAACCAAAAAAAAGGTAGCCGAAATAAAAAAAGAAAACGCCGATCGGGTTAAATCGGTAAGGGTAAACTAAGCTAAGTTAACTATAAAGTAATAAAGGGACCCCCTTATAATATTAAACGAGAAGTTAAAGGCGCGGCCGTAATAATTAAATAATAGCCGGAGGAATGAAATTTCGCGGTAGTTTTTAAAGGGAGATATTAATCGGAACATACCGTACTACCCTTTTTAATTTAATTATCCCTTACGGTATAATTAAACTAAGGAGGCTATAGTAATACGGTAAGACATACTCTCTTAATATATTACGTAATACGCTACGATAAGCCTTATGCCTATATAAAGTAACTATAGCTCCCGTAAGTATAAAACATACCATACTTATTATTTAGTTTATTACCTAACTACATTACTATCTTTATTATTTTTACCTTAATTAAAGATTCGTTTTTACCATTAGATTCGTCGTTCTCCGATTAATACATCTATTTTAGTTATAGGCGCTTAAGTTACTTCGTCGTACCGCTATAACCGAATAAGTAACTTTTACGTTTTACCCTTTTTCTTCTCTTACCTCTTATACCTTCGGGCTAGCGACTACTACATCTCTACGACTAAGGAGCATAGTTAAGATACGATAACTATATTAAATTCCTTACCTCTCGATTAATATAACGATACTAATTTCATTTATCTTAGACCATCGTACGTACTATAGTCTTCGATAAAGTATACTTTCGAGTGAACCTATCCGGGTCTCTAGCATCGCGTACGCTCTGCTCCTCCTTATTACTTTCCTTAGTTTAGGAACCTATACTCGGTATAGGTTAAATATATAATATCTAACTAAATAACCGACGTAAGCTCTCGGTTTAACTTTAAACCCTCTTCTATCGAGATCTTAAGCGCGTTCTCTTAATAAAGGATACGCGCGATACCCGTACGTATAGATTCCGTACTAGTCTAGCCTTAAGTCGCTTGTTAGCTCCCTTATAAGCGTAAGTATATACCATCTAAAGTAAACCGTAAACTAAGTATTAAGTAATTTATAAGGCGAGCGAAGATAGTATATATAGCTCGGGCTTATATTTATTAGGTATACCGTAGCCTTTACGTATTTAAGCCATAGCTTTTTTAAAAGCCCTACTCTTATCTTTATTTTAATCGATTTAACGATAATAAACTATCTAGTTCTCTTACCCTTACTAGTTAATTCTTTAATATTCGCCGGTAGTAGCTCGAGATTAATACCTTTTTCCTAAGCCTAGATTTTATATCCGGTTAGGCCTTTAATTCCGATTATTACTCGTTCGTTATCGTATCGGAACTTATAAATCGAAAGGCGGAACTATCGTCGTACCTATCTTTTAAAGAGTCGAATAGTCTTCGTAATTAAGTAACCTTATTTACTCTTAAGGGTTTTTACTTAGAGCATTCCGCTATATTTATCTTTAATAACGAATATTTATTTAGAGCCGTCGTATTCTTTCGGAAAGTTAAATAAATCCTAATATATACGCTAAAAAGGACGTAGCGAGTAATATAATAATAATCGGCGTAAGATTACTCTCTTACCTATCGTAAGCCTATAATACTTATACTTAAGCGTAGGTATACCGTTAATTTCGATATTCTAAGCATACTTTACGAGTACTTTAAGCGCCTCCGGGCTTAGGTACCTAGCTCTAAGGTACTAGAGTTACTCGAAGCCTTTTCTCGGTTTTATTTAATCTTTCGATTTTCTTTATCGGGTTTCTTTCCCCTTAGTCGTCGGAATAGTAATAAACGATATTACGTTATATGGTATTATTATAGGCGTACGTACCGGTATTATAGGAAGAACTTACGAATAAACGGAAAACTACTTAAATTTAAAGAATACTAGGTTATAACGACGTTCGAGCTTTCTTATAATAAACCCGTTCTTAATCGACCTCCGGCGAAGAGAATAATTAAAACCATAGTACTAGATATTAATAACAAGAAGCTTTACTTCGGAAATAATATTAATATAGAAATCTTTAACGAAAATAACGTCTTTAAGCGTAAGGTCGATCGTAAGCTTACCCGACTTATCCTAAAGGTAATTCTTAATAACGCGTATATTAATACCGGTAATAGAAAAGCTCGTAATATTAGCTTCGATAATCTACCCGTCTCTAGCGGGAGCGAAGGAACCTTCGATTAATAAATCCCGGTTATTAATAAGGTAAATAGCTCCGTAGTTATCGAAGATAGTACTCTCGGAAAGGAGGTATCGTATTAAATCCATAATAGAAAATACCCCTACGCTAGAGGTTATATAGATAATACGTAAGTCGATTATCGTTACGTTAATATTACTAGACTACTTATTATTTTTATTACGCTTATTCCGAGGTAGGTTAGTTCCGGAGGAGCTACCTTAACTAAGAACGGTAACCTTTTATTCGTCGCTTTTAATAAAGGCTCGGAATAAGGTAAAGTCGCTTAAGTTATACCGTTATTTAATAGCTAGTTTTACGTCGTCGGATATATATAAGATTTATCGTAGCGTTTTACCGGTAATAACGAATTAAAGGTTAGCGTATACCTCTAAAGCCTAACGGTATTATTTATTATATAAATACTTATTAGCTTTAGCATTATCGATCGAGCTATTAAAGCTATTAAAGCTATTAACGTTAGTCGCTCCGGCTTTATGTCCTAAAGTAGCTCTTTAATGCGTAGCTAAAATATAAAGGCCCGATTTACCTATCTTCTTATCCTCGGAAATAAAAGCTCCGAATACTTTGCCTAACTTTATAAGGAAAAGTAGCTATCGTTTAAGCCGGTCCGCCGTAGTTAATTTAATAGTCGCGCGAATAGCTTAGTTTAGAGCGATCTTAGCCCTAATAACTTCGAAGAAGTCCTTCGCTCCGAGTACGCCTCGGATCTCGTTAATATCGTAAGCGAGAACTCGGTAATAAGCGTTATTCCAAGTAATAAAGAATTACTCGCCGTAAAGGGTACCCGCCTTTACCTTTTATAAGACCTCGCGGTATTTCTAGCGAACGAACGTTTACGTAATAATAAAGGTAAGAGCGAGGTAATCGCGAAATAGTCTTACGATATTCTAAACGTTCGGCTTAAGTTCCTAAGCTTTAAATTATATACCGACGAACTCGAGATAATTAATAAAAACCGAGGATATAATTTAATAATAAAAAGCTCGGTAACTTTTACCGGCGATAGTAACTTAAAACTCCTAAGAGCGACTTTATTTAAATAATTACTTATATTCTTCGATAAAGAAATAACGCGGGTTTTCGGTTAAAGCTTTCGGCTCCTTCCTACGAATCTTAGGGTTTTTCTTAACCTATTTATAGAAAGCTTAGAGGTATTACTTCCTCGCTCGTTCCTTTTCCTAAGTAATAAATTCTTCGAGCGATAGAAGTATCGCCGAGCTTAGCTTATAGTCGTTTACATTAGGATTAATATCCTTTTAAATATCGAACTATTCGGCGTAGTTCTAGAAAGTAATAAACCATCGTAAATATTCGTCGAAGTTACGTAGGTTAATATTAATAAGTAGCTTCTTAATAGAGAAGTTTCCGCTAGTATTAATTATTGCTATAAATATATTACTCGAAAAAAAACGAGAGCGATATTTAAGAGAAAAACGATTAATCGAAAGATTAAAGAGATAGAAATAAATAATAAGATTACTCGGAAGCTTATATATTAAAACCTTAGTTAATTTAGCTTCTTAAAAAGGCTACCGGGCTTATAACTAATACGTAAATCAGAAGAGCTACGTAAGTACTAAGGTTACTTCTTAAGAATAACGGAAGGTAAGAAGAAGAAGGTAAATTAACTAACTATCTAAGAAAGAAGGAGATTAATAAAGGAGATACGAGCTACCTATATATAAACGATAGGAAACTACGAGCTATATTACATAAGCGAGCTAGGAGCTATATTAGGTAAGCGAGTAACTCGAGAAGGAATAGGGAGCCATGTATAAGTAGCTCTCTATGTAACAAATTATTAAAAGAGTACATTTTCCTCTTTACTATCCGGGTTTTCTAATAACGCGTACGTACCGTATCTTCTCGGTACTTAGCGATTGTTACATTGATGGTGCTAATTATCCTCGAATTAAAAGAGTACATATCTCGTCAACCCTCGAAGCAACGCCTTTAACGCTTATACTCGATATCTGCTCAGAGTACCGATTCAAGGATTAAGCCTAGCCGCGTCTCGACTGTATCCAGGTACTGGTTGGTCGTGACATAGTCTTTACGAGAGGTTTTGCCGCAGGCAAGAGCCAAGTCCTTGGTCATAATACCGTCGACATCAACGGTATCAATACACGCCGTCTCCAGCATATCCGCAAAGGCTACTAAGTTTGGCGTTCCGTCCAACTTACCACGCTGTGACAACCCGCGTGTCCAAGCAAAAATGCTCGCGATTGGGTTCGTTGACGTTTCACGTCCACGTTGGTGCTCACGGTAGTGACGTGTCACTGTTCCATGAGCAGCTTCCGACTCAAATGTCTTACCGTCAGGTGTAACCAGCACAGATGTCATGAGACCCAAAGAGCCAAAGCCTTGAGCAACAATGTCGGACTGGACATCACCATCATAATCTAATATAGCGACGTAATTTTAGATTGCTTGCGCACATATATGCTTCGAAATCAGGTAGGGGGACCGAGAGGGGAGACTTACTCTTAAGGGCCATGATGAACCCCCCGGAACTCTTAATCATCTGAGCGACCATGTCATCGATAAGACGGTGTTCGTACCAGATATTCTTGGCTTGGAACGCCTCCTTATACTCTGCATCGTACAGGTCCTGGAAGATATCCTTGAATTTGCCGTCGTAGTGCTTCAGGATGGTATTCTTAGTGCTCATGTATAGGGGTAATTTCTTGCTTAGAGCTAGGTTGAAGCTGGCGCGTGCGAAACCAGTGATACTCTCTGTAGTATTGTACTGAGTCTGGGCTACCCCGCCGCCTTCCTTGAATTGAAAGACTTCAATCTCTTCAGGCTTGCCGCCGTCAGGGGTATATACCATTGTCAGCTTTCCGGGTCCCGGGATGATTCTGTCTTTTGCTCGATATTGGTCCCCGAAAGCATGCCGCCCGATGATGATCGGTTTCTTCCACCCCGATATCAACCGGGGGATGCTTCGAATTACAATAGGCTCGCGGAAAACAGTCCCGCCAAGGGCGTTTCGAATCGTGCCGTTGGGTGAGAGCCACACTATAAGGTTAGGAACACGAGTCAGACTTTGAAGCATCGGCATTTGTGCGAGAAGGGGCCATGGTGAGCCATGGGTCGGTGACATTCTGGCTCACATACTCTGCTTCAAACCGAACTCCTTCACTCGAGCTTCATCAGGTGTGATCGTTGCGCATTTGACGCCAACTGAGTATTTCCGAATTGCCTCGGCGGCGTCAAGCGTGACTTGATCATTAGTTTCGTCTCGGTGCTCCAATCCCAGGTCGTAATATTTCAGGTCAATATCGAGGTAAGGGAAGATGAATTTGTCCTTGATGACTTTCCAGATGACTCTGGTCATCTCGTCCCCGTCAAGCTCGACAATGGGATTCGTCACTTTGATCTTTTGCGCTGCGATATACGATCTCGTTTGGCGGAAGAGCGCCACCGGCTTAAACGGTTGGACATTACGAGGTGAAGACCGCCTAGAGAGCAACGACAGGCCAGCGGTAGTAGGATGCCTTAAGCAACGCGAAGCAGGTAAGCATGTGCCGTTCATCATGAAGAGGCCTTCTACGTAGTGTGATACGAATCAGGTATAAAGGAGAAAAAGAGGTGGAAAGGAAACCGGGCGACGACTAGTTAGCATATACCGAGGGTGCAGCCCCGCACTCATTAAACGAAGAGCTAACTGGGGTTGCATCAAAAACGCACCTCTACGAGATTTAAAGTTTTAACTTGAGTTTTGATATAATTAAGAAAATAAATATTACGTTAATATAAAAAGAAAATATTTATAAAAATATTCATTATATAGACATATACTTATAGTAAAGAGCTATATTACTTACTTAAGCCTAGCCTTTAAGTTTATATAACTCTATAGCTAACTTCTCTATCTAGAGTAGCTCTTTTCTTTCTTAACTAGTTAAAATATACCTTTTTGCTCATATTTCATTACCCTCTACATGTAAGCTATTATACTTAGCTAAAGCTTTATATTAAACTATATAATAATTATAAATTTAAAATACTTCTTAAACGCCATTATTAATTTGATTATTCTTATATATAAGAAAAGTTTTATATTTATTTATCTTTTAAATCTTATAATTAATTTTCTACCTTTTGTAAATATTATTCTCTTTATTTAATTGTTAGAACGTTACGTATACCTTGTCTATTATATTGATTATGATTATTAAATTCTCGTTTATTAAAATCTTTATTAGCATTTACTTATAGTCTTATAATAAATGAATATAATAATTCTTTTTATTTAAATCAATAGCTGCTTAATTTGAAATTTAGAAAAACGTTAATTTAAATAATTATAAACTTATACATAGATTTCAACTTATCATTCTTGTAAAAAATATATATTACTTACGAAACTGAATAACTATAAAAGGAATATAAAATAGCATACTATAATCCAGTTATCATAGCAGCTAAGAGATACGGAAATTGATTATTAAAAATTAAAAGCGCTTTTTTTTAAAGGAATTAAAGATTAAATATAATAATTTTCTTATTTAACAACATATAGTTAAACTTATATAACAAATAATAACAAATAACATTGAGTTTTATATAGTAAAATGCGAACGTTAATCTTTCTAAGGTACTTTAAAGCCGTTAATGTAAAAATATAATTTTTAAACTTAAAGTTACTTCTTTAAAGTTTTACGAAACTTCTTTATAAATATATCGCTTCCATTAACGTTATTATTAAAACTTTTATTAAATAGAAGTACTGTGAAATACTAAGAAAAAGTAGAGTATACTAAGGAGGAGCAGAGCGTACGCGATACTAGAGGCCCGGATAGGTTGATTCGAAAGTACACTCTATCGAAGACTACGGTACGTACGATAGTCTAAGACGGATGAAACTAATATTACTATATTAACCGAGAGACGAGGAATCTAATGTAGTTATTATATCTTAGCTATGTTCCTCGGTCGTAGAGATATAGTAGTCGCTAGCCCGAAGGCATAAGAGGTAAGGAGAGAAAAGGAATAAAACGCAAAAGTTACTTATTCGGTTATAGCGGTACGACGAAGTAACTTAAGCGCGTATAATTAAAATAAATATATTAATCGGAAAATAACGAATCTAACGATAAAAACGAATCTTTAATTAAGGTAAAAATAATAAAGATAGGAATCTAGCTAGGTAGTAAACTTAATAATAAATATTATATAACCCGTACTTACGGAAGCTATAGTTATTTTATATAAATATAAGGCTTATCGTAACGTATTACGTAATATATTAAAAGGATATATTTTATTATATTATTATAGCTTCTTTAGTTTCATTATACCGTAAGAAATAATTAAATTAAAAAGGATAATATAGTATATTCCGATTAATATCTCTTCTTAAAAACTATTACGAAACTTTATTTTATTAGTTATTATTTAATTATTATAGCCGCGCCTTTAACTTATCGTTTAATATAATAAGAAGGTTTCTTTATTACTTTATAGCTAACTTAACCCGGTTTATCCTTACCGATCTAGCCCGATCGGCGTATTCTTTCTTTATTTCGGTTACCTTCTTCTTAGTCTTAGCTTATTCCTCTTAATTAAAGGAATAATAAGGGAGCGGGCGCGTTTTAAAGGTCGATTAGGTATCTTTCTTTTACTTATATAGTATAGAGGTTTCTCTAGACTAGAAAGCTCTAATCCTTACTAGGCCGAGGAAAGGAAAGGGACGGGTCGTAACTTTAACGAGATTATCGTAGCGGAGGTCGGTATCTATTAATACGAAAAAGTAAGGAGGATTAGGTATTAAAGCTATAAAGGAACGGCGGACCTCCGCTTACGCGATCGAATGGATAGAGGATTTACGGCTAAGGAATTCGCCGATTAGCGTACTTTAAGCGGATATTATAGCGTTAATAAGGTCGATTCGCTTTTAATAATTTACGGCTTACCGGAAACGCTTAACGATACTAACTCCTTTTTTTAAAACCCAAACGCTATAAAATTATTCTACTACCTTAGCGTATTTCCTTATTATATTAAGGGAATTAAGCCCTTTATTTTCTTAGGTTTAATAAGCGACTTCGATCGGTCGTTTAAAGATAAGATATAGTAAAATGCCGCTTTAAAAACCGTAACTATAGCTATCTTATTAATTTATTAACGCGACGTAATAAGTAGACTAAGGGGTTATGCTAGGCTCGAGGCTATCGTTTTCTTAGGCTCGCCGTAATTAACTAAACGCGTACGCCGCCCGATCAAAGGCGCCGTTCTTAATTATATTAAAGCTAAATAATCTCCGGAGCTTAAAAAGGTATAGCGCTACGGCGAAGTAGGCCTAGGAAAACTTCTCGGGATTAATAATAACTAGTTCGAGGTTTATTAGATCTATATAAATCGTAAAAAATAAAATAAAGGTAGGATTATTGAAAAGATATTAGCGGGTTAAGAAGTTAAACGATTTTATTAATCAGTAACTTATCGTTTAATATAGGTTTATTTCAAAGGCCGCCTTCCTATCTTCGAAATCGTAACTTATTATAATATAAAAGGTATAGATATCTTCGTTAATAAGATAGACGTAACGGCCGAGGCATATAAAAAAGTTAGCTAAGGCTACCTTCGTTTATTTCTATTATTATTAGTTTATAATTTAGGGTCGATTAGTAAATAATCAGAAGGCCTAGGCTATATCGAATCCTAACTCGATCTAGCCCTTCCCCGAATCGTAATTATTTAGAGTACTAAGTTAATACTTCTCTATATTACTTTAGTTATTTTCGCTACCGTAAATCTCCCGTAGGAGTTCTATTAAGTCGGCTAGATCGGTACGACGTACGTTTCTATAGACGGAGGAAAGGGAGAAGGAAAGGGGGATTCCGGCGGAGCGGGGGGAAGACATCGTAAAAAATAAAATAAAGAATTAAAGAAAGAGGAAAAAAGATAATAAGTTAAAGGTAAAAATAAGAATTTAAATTAATAATAAGAAAGGTAGGCTATAGATTAATAAGAATATAATAATTATAAGGGAGGGACTTTTAAAATAGGATGCCTAAAGAGGAAAAAGAAAGGGAGGAAGGGAAACGTATTAACGATATAATTAGATATACCTTTATAACTAACGTTTTAAGAAAGCGCGATTCCCTATATACGTATAGAGTTATAATAAGAGATACGTTAGCTTATAGCTTCTTATTATATAATCTTAATAAAGTAATAAACGCGTACGTTTATAGATTAGTAATTAAACGTAAGCTAAGGTAGGTATTATCAAAACTCTCCTAAGTACGGTATTTACGACTTAAGTAACGTATTTAACTCTTTCGTTCTCGTCCGACCTCCCTTCTTATTTCTCGTTATTCTACGGTTCCGATTTATTTCCTTTCTTCCTCTTCTTAGGTACTTTATTTTCGTTTTAATTCGTTTTTCGATTTTTTTAAATTCTAGATTTATAATTTCGTTATTCCTATCTTTCTCTTTCTTATATATATATATATATTATAAACCTTACCTTTTAAAGGAAACTCCTAAAGCTAGACTGGAAGGCCGTTCTTAAGCTACTCGAATAACTTAAGGCTACGGGGATTACCGACGAGGAGATCGCCGGGGCGGCCAGGAAGGCTAATAACGATAAGAAAACGGCCGTAACGTATTAGCGGGCTAAGTCGATACCGCCGCCGGTAAAACTAATAAATAAGTAGCCTAATAAATCGTTCCGTTAGTTACCTTCTAACGAGGAATTCCGGGACGTTAATCGGCTAATTTCTAAGCCCTGGTAAGTACCGCATATCCCGTACTTTCGCCTCCTAAATTAAAGCCCGAAAGTAATTATCGGCCGGTAGCTTTAAGACATCGAGGAAATTTAAGTAATAAACTAATAACGCTAAGTATATAACTCTTAATATTAATAAGATTTATTAATCGAAGGTTAAATTAATTAATAATAAGATAATTCGTAATATACGGTTTTATTTTCTAGGTAGGCCGACGGCCGGCCGGTATATCGCATAAGAGATCCTAAGTAAGAATTTTTAAAAGGTTACTTACCTCTAAAGCTATATTATATCCCTTACCTGCTACGTTTAGTCTTTCCGCCGTCGGACGTTATTTATAGAGATTAATAATAATAAGCCGGTTAGCGAATATTTCCGTCGATTAGTAACGGATCTTCGTTACGTCGTTAGTTTATTCGTTTAATAATATAGGATACCTAACGAGGTATCCTATTAATATTACGAGCGCCGGTTCGCCTCCTCCGATATCGTAAAATATATAAGTATATAGCCGTTCTTTTCCTATCGTTCCTTAGCCCCCGATCGTATCTTTAGATACTCTTACGGCGTTTACTTCTTCTTTATTAACGGGATACGTTATAAATTTCAGGATAAGCGGTTCGCCTACCTACGGGCCAGGATAGATCGTAATTCCCCTCTAATAAAGGATTTAAGCTAAACCGCGTACCCGCTTATAATATAGGTAACGGAGGATAAGTTATTAGCTATAATAAACTTAAAGATCGCTACGTTCCGGGGGTCGGGAAGTAAGTAAGTTTTTAGTTTTCTTAATAACTAATAAATAAGAGATAGGGTAAGAGGATAAAGAGGAAGAAAGAGGTACTAATCGGCGGATATATATTACTTCTAGCTTATTTTTAAACGCGTATTCCTTTTCTTTTTACATTCATTAATATAAATTACTTTCCTTACTTTTCCTTTAAATATTAAAATATATTTATATTAAAATATAATAGCTTCGTAATATTAGG